GAGTTAACAAATAAATATTATTTGAGTTTCAAGAGAGTTCATAAATCTACAATATAAAAAAATTATATATTGGCTTATTTGGTTAACTTGGTTTAACTAAATCTGTAAAAACAATAACTGAATCCAAACCAGATCAGGCTACCTCGTTCAGCTAACGAAATCATTTAACCCGAAAACCAAATAACACGAGTTTTACTGGTTTTCGATTTCGAGTGGATTATTCAGTTTCGAGCTTTCTTGACACTCCTAATTCTACATCCTACCAAATAAAATATATATTTAGAAGATACTTTTTTTCTGGCATATTTTACTTATTTATTCATCAACGTAACTATTTTTTAATTTGAAAAGTTTTTTTTTATTAACCTGGATATCCAATCCGCTATGTGATGCGACTAATCTCAGGGTGACCATCTGCTTTGCAGATAGCCCGGAGTCACCGTATTTGATACTCCGTGGCCACAAGGGAATTTTTATTCCTCCTTCGATTCGAAACTGGGACCTTCAGGTACTTTTAACCTTTGGAGCCAAACTCAAACCAACAAAACACCACATTTCTAGTTTAATTTGGAAACTTCTTACTTAATGTATATTATATTATAAAACATTTGTGACAAAAACTCTTAAAAACCATTTTTTTATGCATGAAATATTGTTTATTGATGCATATTACTTAAAATTTAAGATTACAAGTAAATTGCGCATAAGTACAACTTATTAGAGCTTCATATTTGAATTCGTGTAACTAACTGCAGATAAACATAATCAAGTACTAGATAAGCATCTCATTTTAAATATAAAAAATCTAAAATATAATTAGGATAATCATTGAGTTCTAACAGAATACTTAGTTATTATCTTCATAAAAAAATATTATTAAATCTAAATTAAAGTTCTTTTTTACTAAATCTAAATTAAATTATAATTAAAAATTTGAATTAAGAAAATTACATCAAAACACAAGAACTTTTAAAAAATAATAATTTGATACTGATATCGATATATTTTGTTTCAAAATTTTATGATATTTTCAAATTTATATTTTATTCAAAAAAAAAAATATTATCATTTTTTTAAAACAAAATAAAACCGTATTATATCGACATAAAAAATGAATAAAACGAAACATTGAAATCAAGATATGTCTTGATGCATTGCACGAGTACCCTGATGTTAAATTAAGAAAAGAGAAACGATGACTTTAACATATTATGAAGATACACATTATGACTTTAACAATTTTAGTCCTTATAGTTTTAAAATTACAAGATGGTTATTATGGTTTGCAAAAACGTATGGATTTGATCCCCTCCCTCTAACGACCGTTAAAAAAATCCTGTTAACTAAGAGACATTTTCGTCATGTTATCCATTTTTTTATTTTTTTACCCAATTGAAAACCACAATGATTAATACCATAAACCGTTTTGATTGGGTAAAAGCCAAAAAATGGATAAATTATGAAAATGCCCCTCAGTTAACGAAAATTTTTAACGACCGTTAAAGAAAGTGACCAAATCCGGACATTGTTACAAAACACAATGGCTATCTTCTAAATTCAAAACTGAAGGGACAAAAAGTGTTATTTTCAGCAAACCTTACGAACCAAATTTTGGTTCAAACCCGTCACACCCGACGATCACAATGTCAAACTTTTCAACAAATCATAGGGACCAAATTGCGGTTCACAATGTGAAACTTTTCAACAAATCATAGGGACCAAATTGCGGTTCACAATGTGAAACTTTTTTATGTGTAATTTTTGTTTTACAAATAGACTAAAAATGTTCACATCGTGAAACCAATATATGTTAATCAATATTTTAAATCTTAGTTTTAGATGAAAAAAAATCATATAAAATAACAAATAATGTACTAATTTTTAAGATTATTATAATTTTATGTGTTATTAAGAAAGTATCTAAGGGGATGTTTGATTAAAAGTATTAAGCAGTAATTAATGAGAATGAAAATAAAAAAAATATTATTTATTTTTATATAATATAATGGGTTCACTCTCCTACAAGCCCAAATTTTCATTCCATATTAAATTAGAGGGAATAAAAATTTATTCTCAGTTTCATTCTCAGTATTTTTATTCATTTGCCTACATCAAACTCCCTCTTAAATAAAATAAAAGATGCATGGTTTTACAAAAGTGAGATAAGAAGGATTAATTGATGACATGAAATAAATATGAAGCATTTAAAGATGATGATTGTGTGGTGATATGATATAATTAACTTTTTTGATAGAAAATTATATAATTATTAGAAAAATTAATTAAAATAGTCATTTTTATGGTGGGTTTCACCTCTCAATCATTTCTCTCTTAAAATAACAAAAATAGTCATAGATACGTAATTGACAATTCAACAATTTGCGAAAGTGTCAAAGGGTAAAAAAAGAAGTTTTTGAATTGCAAGCACCAAATGTATAAATATGTTTTTCCAAAATTACATATTTGGTTCTCGTAATTGCACGACACTTCATTTCTTTATTACACTTTGACCCATCCTTGAATTCCAGATCTGTCAGTTGTAGACCTCTGGGTGCTCAAAAACCCGACCAACCCGATCAACTCAACTCAACTAGAAATAACTTAACCCAAAGCAACTCGATGTCTAATTGAGTTGTAAAATTGTCGAACTGTAGGCATTAGGTTACTATTATTTGAACTTAACTCAACCCGATAAACCCGATATCCTTTTATTTCTTGGAATTAATATGGTTGTTGAATTTATATTAATATGTACATTAGACAATTACACTATCATGTATGTTCTTCATATACACATATTTTCAATCTATTCACATCTTTATATAATTCATTCGTATATATGTTCAGTAACTGTGAGCATATATATGTAAATTGAGAAAATTAACTGAATGTGATATACATAAATAGTATGGATAAGTTGTATCAAATGACTGATGATGATAAAAAAATTATGAGTAGAGAAATAACATATTCTAGATTAGAAGAATATTTTAATGTACCAAAGTATCAACCCGACCAACCCGTACAGGTTGGGTTGCACTTTGGTTCGGGTTAGGTTTGGTTAAGATTTTTCAAACCGCAAGCATTGGGTTGGGTTGTCTAAATGTTTTCAACCCGATCAACCCAAACCCATGAACACCCCTAGAAAAAACCGCGTAATCAAAATGGCTATTTAATTTTCAAGACAATTAATCTCTCCCTAGTTAAGTGAATGGAGAATTGTTGAATAATTGAAGGGAGAGATTAATTGTGCCGAAATTTAAATGATAGTTGACTTTGACCCCATGGAAGCACGTTTTTGACATTTTTTTTTGGTAAACCATTCAAGTATCAAGAAATTATTTCATATGAAATCTGTAATTGGTATTTTCGCAAACAAGATTTCTTTGTGTTATGATCTAATGTTTGTATATTATTTATAGGAAAAAATCAAAAAAAAAATCAAACGAAGCTTTTATTTTAAATGAACAACTTAAATATTATTTTCTTAATAAATAAACCATCGAACTTTTGTAAATTGATTACCCAAAAAAATTATATGTAACCGGCTAGTAAAGTTTTAAAATGGAAAAAGACAAACCTAAATTCGTTTAAGCGTTCCAAACCCTACGTTCTTCAGGCCTCTCACACCCAACGTCATCGCTTCCTCTCGTTGCCCGAGGGTTGTTCGCTCTCCATCACTGCCTATCACTGTTGTTGACCGGTCATTGATCTCTCTTATAAGCTTTTTCTTTTTGTTTTTTTGATTCTCTTTTTTTTTATTTGTCTATGTCTTCATTAAATTATTGTAAAATAGAAAATATTGAAAGACAAAAAAACATATAAAAAAGAGGGTGTTTGATAGCACAGGCCAACGACAACGATAAACAATATGAAGAACGGACAATGATGGAACCAAGAGAAATGGTATGAGGGAGCGATGTTTTTGGGTGCAAGAATATTGAATGGTGTAGAGTTTGGGAACCGTGAAAGTTATTTAGGCTTTTTTTAACTTTAAAACCTATTTAACTGATTACAAGTATTTTTTTTTTTTTTTTTGGTGTTGAAGAGATTTTAACCACTTTTCAAAGTTAGATGATTTAGGTATAAAAAATGTTTAGGTCATAAATCATTCAAAATGAAAAAACTTAATGTTTTATTTATTAAAAAATTCAAGGACTTAATCATTTAAAATGAAATCGTTCACTTAGCTTTTGTATACTTTCCCCATATTTGTAAGTAATGTTTTTAAGTGAAATGTATGAAAAAGTGATTGGAAATATACATCAATCCAATAAATAACCATTTGTAATTGTATCGTCAATCATATTAGATTAGACCGGTTGACGGTTGTACAAAGTAATCAAATTGGATTGGTTGTCAAAATTCAACATCAAATGAATGACGGGATAGGATTGGTTCTGCCAAATCCATAATCCATTTTGATGTGAACCGATGAACACCCTATAACATAGTTTTAGCAAAATAGTAAAATTAAGATTTTAAAACCTAATATTAAGAAAATCAACTACTACTGGTGGGTACTTAACCACCCAATTTATTGCAACCAGTCAATCATCTAAATACAAGTCTAAACATAAGACGTCAAGATAGATATTATAGTAACAAACTTGCATTGAATTCAATTGGTCGATCAAGAAATGACATTTTGGATATCCCCAAAGGAGGGGTGACTTGGATTCTGGACTTTAGGTTGTCAGGTTGCCCAGATTTGGTTTATTTCAACCCAACCTGACCCGACCCAACTATCTAGATTTGGACAAGGGTTGTGTGTCCAGGTCATGGGCATTTGCGGCATGGAAGGTAGGTGGATGGGTCTGTATGATTTGCGAGTGCAAAACCTATTCCTATAACTTACCAAATCATAACCTTGGAGTAGCTCAACTAAATAACACATTGGTTCTGCTTCTCATAAGTCATGGGTTCGAGTTTCGTTGCCAGTGGGTTAGTCGAGGTGCACGCAAACTGGTCCGAACGTCATAGTTATCCAAAAAGATTAAAAAAACTTGCCAACTCATTTCATTTAAATTTTACTACATAGACTGCATGTCATATGATATGTATTTCGTACAAATAACGGTAAATGATCTTGATAGGTAGTTTGGTTTTATACCTTAAACTTAGCAGTGAGAGTTCAACAGTCACTTTTGCATGAAGTCTACACAAGGAGACCAAGTCTTCATGTTAACTTAAGGAACTGAACAACATCCTGCACATATAGACATACATGCACCAGCCAATGATTTCAATTGGTAAATTGACTTGATACTAAAATACATTGCATGGAACATTAAAGGGAAAGAATGAACCATTTATTTGACATTCTGCAATTTCATTCAGAAACTTGCTCCAATATATTTGTGGGCAATCCTGGTGCACCAAGACCAATCAACTTTGTGAGGGTTGGAGACAGTCTCTTTTATTTTCTACTCCCGAGGGTACTTTGGTTAAATGACCTCCTGACAGGTTTTCATTAAATTCATGACTTTCTGACAGTATTTTGTTAAGTTCATGACCTTCTAACAGATTTTAGTTAAAACAAGTTTGAAAATGTCACTGTTTAACAAAAGGATGTCAAATCCATACACAAAAATGCCTAGAAATCTGTCAGAAGGTCATGGATTTAAAAATCACTTGTCAAGAGGTCATTTAGCTAAATAACCCCACGAACAGGATAATATATATTGTATGGATTACTACATTACCTGTCAAGATTTAGCAACTTCTGAAGTGAATAAACTATCCTGATATCTGACGACAGGATGAATCAATCTCCACTATTTCCTATGTTTGGCCATCCTTGATCTGCTTGTGACTTCACAAAATCAGCCAGAAGTTTTATTTCATCTTCATGTAGACGAGCTCCAAATGTGCATTGACCCCTCGGAGTACACATCTCACCAAAGCCCTGCAGGCACCATGTGAGCACACGATGTATGTTCCCCAATGCCCACTTGTATTTCAATGTTTTCTTTCAAGATGAAACTTACCGGCATTCTTCCCTTTCCATAATATGTTATGCGGTATATTTCCTCTTCGGTGTCAATTCCATTTCTGTACAAGTACAAGACCATTATAAAAGAAGTACAATGAAACCTATCAAGGGTATTATAAAAGAAAGAACTTTTCAAATACAAATTATACTCAAGCCAATAGATCATCAAATGGATAAAATATTGACTAGATAATCCAATTGCTAAATATATAGGCTTAAATGGTTACAGAATAAGGACATCAAAGTCCACTTTTGGCTACCTCTGCAGATCTTTTAGAAATAGAGTTGCACCCTGCAAGAAAACACAAACATGCAGATTGGGGTTATGAGAAGTGATGAGCTCATTGGGAAACTCTCTCCTAGAAAGCAAAACTAAATTCAGTGATGACGGATAATGTTTGATGTATTGTTTGCAGAAACTCACTGGTTGTATTATGTTTCCACCTGCATCATGACATCCGATGCAAGCATGGCGAAACAATGAAGCTCCTCGTTTTGCATCTATTGTTTGACCATATGACACTGTGAAACATGGAAATGAAATTGAGAAACAATAATTTTGGTCAGAATAAAGAACATTATTTACATCATACCTAACAGATGAGAGGAGATTTCTATTCCATAATATGATAGATTGTTCATCACAATAATTCTCCAAGGAACAACCCTCAGACTATGCTAACCATTTCATGTTAATGGCGGATGACCACATAGAATCAGCAAAGCCCAAAACATTATCCCCTTTTGACTTTTAGCTTTGAAAAAGGCCATGGTTTAACCTATAATTTGTTAAAATTAGCAGTTGAAAATTATCATAAAACTTGATCCATAATGCACTTTGGGTGTGGGAGGGACTATCCATATTCTCACATCAACATTCACATTTGTGCATTGAGCATATTGCAATCAAAGAACAAAAAGTAAAAAAAAAAACACAGTCCACACATAGAGGTTGCAATTTTGGAGGTAATACCTAACCATATTTAGGAATCTCATGAACCCTAATTGGTAATACCAATCATTTTTTAACACAGCAATGGGAAACTTCAACTTGATGTATTGCAATTTTGATAGTAAAAAAGCTAGGTTTCAGTTTTAGATCAAAAGTGGGTCTAATTCTGGAATGATAGAAAGAATAAATGAATGAAACGATTGATTAGAGTTTACCTGGAGGAGTGATGATAGGAGATAAGGCTAGAAATGCAGCAAATAAAGGTGGAGCTAATCTTTGTAGAAACTTGAGTTGTTGGCGTGGCTTCACCCATTGTGCTTCATCTCCTTGCTTCCCCTTTTCCTGTTGCCATAAGAAACCAAAATCCAAGCCCTGAAAACCACGAACTTATTGCTCTATCTCTGTGTGTGTGTGTGTGTGATATATATATATATATATATAATAGAGAGAGAGAGAGAGAGAGAGAGAGACCTGGTTTAAAGCAGGGGGAAAGGTGGGGTGACAGTTGGAGATGGCGGATAAAAGCAGCATTCTTCCGTCTTCTCTTGGAAGATTGAAACCGTTCCCAACATGTAATGTAACCTGGGTGCTCTCGTCGGTTGTTGATTCACTTTATTTCGTAATTTTTTTTTAATTTATTAAAACTAGGATGGTATTCGCAAAATGTATTAAGATATATCTCGATTTTAATGTTTCGGTTTTTTTTTATCCCAGTTGCTTTATAATACTGTTTTATCTGGTTTTGAGAAAATAATGATGTTTTTATTTTTGAATAAAATATAAATATAAAGATATCATCAGAAATTGAAAAAAATATTGATATTAATATCAAACTAACTATTTAAAATTTCTTGGTTTTTGTATATTTCTTTAATTATTTTTTTTATTTTATTTAATTTTTTTTATAAAGATAATGATCAAGTATTTTGTTAAAAGTAAATGATTATCCTAATTTTATTTTGATTTTTTATATTTAAAATGAAATATTTATCTTTTATCCGATTATGTTTATATGCAGTTAGTTATATAAATTCAAACATAAAGATTTAATAAGTTGTACTTGCACACAATTTACTTCTAATATTGAATTTTAAGAAATATGCATCAATAAACAGTACTTCATGCATAAAAAATGGTTTTTAAGAGTTTTTATCAAATGCTTTATAATATAGTATAGATATGTAATATAAGGTAATATCATATTTTATCTATTTTGATATACATACATACATACATACATACATACATACATACATACATACATACATACATACATACATACATACATACATACATACATACATACATA